GGGGGCCTAGAGTCTCCCGGTGTGGCCCAGCCTCGCAGAGTGTGGCCCCCCCCCCCCGCGCTGCCGGCCTCTCTGTGCAGGGAGGGTGTGGCAGCTGCACCTGCCGTCCGCATCTCTCTTTGCTCAGCACTGCAGCCCCTGGATCGCCCTGCGTGAAGTGTGCGGGAACCAGGACGCGTGTTCTCTGCCGCGGCTTCTCCCCATGTCGCGTTGCATTTGTTGGCACTTCCAAGGCCGGAATCGGTCACTGCTGGCGGGCGGCCATGTCTTCCCCCCTCTGACTGCAAGGCCTCTCTCGTCTCCCTCAGCTCTGCGGTGGCATTAGTGGCTACCCTCCTGCCCAGGACATACTGGTCTGGCCCAGTGTCAGAGCCTGGGGTGGCCTTGCTCACGGCTTGGCCCTACTGTGCGTCGCGGGCTGCCCTTTGGGATCAGGGCTGGGGGTCGCGCAGGCCGGGGTCTGCCCCACGTTTCTCGTAGGGCTAGCCTGTGGGGCCTGCACACCCTGTGCTCTGGGGACGCCATGAGGAAGGCCCGCGTTCCAGCCCACTTACCGGCGGCCAGCAGAACCGTCAGCGCGGTCTGAGGTCGGGGTGCAGATGAGGAGGGAGATGGGCCACCAGGTCACACTGTAGGGTGAGGGGCGGCCGTGAGCAGGGCTAGGACCCAAGATGGAGGAGGTTGGCCAAGCCCTTCTGCGCATGAGGGACAGCACAGGCCGAGACCCCGAGGCAGAGGCCACCTCATGAGGTGCCCAGCACCCGAGCCCCACCCTCAATGCCTCCACCCAGACCCTCCCAGGACCCCCTGCGCTCCCAGTCACCTGTGCTGTCCCCAGACCGCTGCCCTAACAGGACGAGCTGTGTGAGAGACCGCAGGCCAGAATCCAGGCCCATGCCAGCTGGGACAGCCCTGTCTGGGGCTCCCCTGGGCGGAAGTGAGGCCAGTGGGTGGCCGCTGCCAGCCTGCTCAGAGCCCTCTGCTCAGTCCCCTCCCCTGCCGTCCCTCAGTCGTCCGCCTCTGCCAGTGAGGGCAGGCGGTGTCCCCATCGAGCATGGCCCGACCCAGCAGCGTCACTGAGCTTCAGCTGTGCCAGGTGCCCTCAGCCCAGGGTGCGTGCCCGCGAGCTGGTTGGGGTAGTGGGCAGCAGAGGGCTGTCACTACTCTGGGAGTCATAGGAGGACATGCAGGACAGCCGGGGGCCAGCCAGAGCACAGTCAAGGCGTGGGAGGGAGCGGCGGGCACGCAGGGACAGCAGGCATGGTGAGGGTGGAGGGTCAGTGGTGACTGGAGATAGGCACGTCTTCAGAGGGACGGCAGGACACCTGAGGTGCCTTCTTGGGGGCTGGAGCCTGAAGCCTCTGTGGAGTCAGCACTCGGAGCAGGCAGGGGGTTTGGCCCCGTTGGAGTGGCCGTTCAGGGGCCTGCTCTGCCTGTCACTGTGAGGGGACCCAGCCTACTGTAATGCCACTCTCCCCGACAGCCAGGAGCCGTGTGCGTGTCTGGCTTCTCTGGGGAGCTGGGCTGTGGCACGGGGCCGACCGGGGCCCTGTTGCTAATGCTCCTCTCCCCCAGGGAGAGGCTGGGGGCTGCCAGACTCCCGCCCAGTCCCTCTGAGAGCGCACGCTCAGCCAGCTCCAGAGGGCAGCTTTGTCCCCTGGACTTGGGAGCTGTGGGGACCAGGCCCAGAGCCCTGCACCAAACCTCGATGCTCCTGCCCAGTCTGCGGCGGCCAGGTTCAAGGCACGGGGCTGAGGCTCGGGTGTCTGGCCTGGCCCACCTGTCTCATGGCCTTGCCTCCTGTGCCGTGCCCCTGTGGGACTGGCGGACCCGCATGGCGCCACACCAACTGGGGCTGGGGTCTGCGCCCTCCTTCTCTCTACCGCCCACTGACTCCCTGAGCCGTGCCCCCACGGCCTGCCTGGCCCTCCCATGTTTGGGTCAGGGACCTTGTGGAGCAGGAGGAGCTCCGGCGACCCAGCTGCACCTGGCCTGAGGCAGGAGGTGGGGAGGTGCCTCAGCCTCGGGTGCCTCCCCAGAGGGCACAGCTGTTCCCACTGGCCTTGACGAGTGCTCTCGGGCAGATGGCAGATGCAGAAACCAGCTCTCCCAGACAAAGCCCGGATCAGACTTGGCTCTCAGGGTGTCACCTGCTGGGCCCTATGAACCTTGCATGGCTGACCCAGCCCCAGCCCACATGGCCTGTCCTGCCACCATCCTGGGCCGCATGAGCACCTGCCCAGGGCCTTGGCACATCCCTGCCCTGCCGGCCACTGCCTGACACACTTCCTCAGAGCCCTCTGGGGCACCCAGTGTGTCAGGGAAGCATGCGAGCTCCAGTTGGACACCTGGGCTTGGTCCCCAGCACATGGCTGGGCGGCCCCACCCACCCTGGGCCTCGGTTTCCTCGTGTGCGGGGCGTGAGGAGGGGTGCTCGGGAGCTGGGTCCTCGGCACTGGCTGCCACCCCAGCAGGCATGTTCTGTCCTGCTGGACCTTGCACCCGGGCTCTTCCCACCGCAGTTGGCAAAGCCGTGTGGTTCCTGGGGGAGACCGGAGGCTCCAGAGGTGCCTGCAGGCACCAGCTGGGCTGGAGATGCATCCGACCTGGGCAGGGGTGGGGGCCAGAACCAGGCCAGAGCTGTTTCCTGGTCCTACCTGCCCTCAGCCCGCAGTCCTTGTGGCGGGTTGACCTGAGTTCCCACCACCTCGTGACCCTAGGAGCTTGGGGTGGGGGGTGTCAGCCCACGTACAGAAGTGACATCCCACTTGAAGTTGGTCCAGGGTGGCCAGCCAGGCAGTTAGCAGGGGGTCACAGCGGTGGACAGAGCAGGCAGCCCCACACCCTCGCCTGCCCCTGGCTCCTGTCCCGGCCTCATGCCAGCCATGTCCGTCCCCTACGTCTGCCAACAGCCCCACTTCCCCGGGCAGTGCCTCGCTCTTCCCAGCAGCCGAGCTGTCGGCAAGGTGCGAACAGCCGGCACAGATGCATGCGATGTGCACCCAGGTCAGTGCTCAGTGTGCAGCAGGGAGCTGCAGGGCCACCGTGGGCGAGTCACCCTGTCCTCACCTTCTAGTTGGGGCTGTGGAGGGGCCGCAGGCTCTGAGGTGCCCAGGGGAGTCCTGGTGGGATGCGGCATGCGCCCTCTTGGGTAGAGACCCTGTGCTGGCTGGGGGATGGGTGTGGGGCAGAGGAGCAGGGACCTATGGAGGAGGCAGGTCTCAGGTTTGAGACCCAGGGAATGCCCCTGGCTGGGCTGGGTTGGACAGGAAAAGAAGCCTCCCCCGCCCGTCAGTCTCCTCTCTGTGTCTATCTGAGGTGCAGTTGCACGTCCGTTGGAGAACAGTAACAGCGTCTAGGGAAGCCAAGAACAGCTTCCTGGGGTTGCTACAGGGGGGCCTCCTGGGGGGAGCAGAGAGGTGGGGCCTGGCCCTGCGGAGTGTGGTGGGGCAAAGGGTACAGAGGTGGAGCCTGGCCCTGCGGAGTGCCAGGGGGGCAGAGGGGTGGGGCCTGGCCCTGAGGGGTGCCAGGGGGGCAGAGAGGTGGGGCCTGGCCCTGCGGGGTGCTGTGGTGGGGGCAGAGAGGTGAGGCCTGGCCCTGCAGGGTGTAAGGCGGGGAGCAGAGAAGTGGAGCCTGGCCCTGCAGGGTGCCAGAGGGGTGGGGCCTGGCCCTGCGGTGCCACGGGGGCAGAGAGGTGGGGCCTGGCCCTGCAGGGTATGGAGTGTCACCATCTCCCTCACTAGGTGGGTGCTGGTGTGCACACAGGTGTGACCCAAGTATGTGCGGCAGACAGACCTCCGGGGTCTCTGCCTATGGCCATGATGGTGGAGCCGGGTGACAGTTGTGAATGGGAGCCCAGCTTGGGCTGGGCGGTGGGTAGTGCCCGATGCCGTGGGTCCGAGATGGTCAGAGGTCGCCGTGCCCTGTGCCCTCGTTTGGTCTCGACTCGGCAGGCCACCAGTAGCACGGGGACATACCATGCAGCTCAGGCAACTGACTGGGGGACAGCGACTCCCACCCAGCCCCAGATGAAGATGCACAGGTCACCCAGGGCACTTGCTGTCCCTCAGGCCCTAGGGCCACCCGAGTATGGGGGTGCCACCTCTCCGGGTGGGTATGGATTAAGAAGGTGACTGCTCAGAGGGGCCCTGTCCTGCTGTCCTCAGCCTGGACATGCTATGGGCAGCTCTGCAGGGCCTAAGGGCTCAGGTGGCCACTGGCAGCATGTCCCTTGTCCCAGCAAGGCCAGTGGGGCAGGCCCACCCACGTCCTACAGGGAATGTTCGGTCCCATCTCCAGGAGGGATCTGTTTGCAGCCGCTCGGCACTGGGGCCTGCATCTGTGCCCCAGAAAACTCCTCCGCCACACTCTGGAGCCCGCCCTGGAGCGGAGCAGAGAGCTGGACGGGGGATTCTGGGGGTAGTGGACGAGGAAGCCGTGCTGTGCTTGGTGTGAACAGGAGACCGGCTTCGGTCTTTGTGTCTTCCAAAGCAGAGAACCCAGGCCAGAGCGCATGCCAGAGAGAGCAGGTCACACAGTTTGGGGCTGGCAAGTGTGTGTGCCTGGCCAGGAGTGGCCTGGGAGGGCTTACCTCGCCCCTTCACCCCTGCCCCACTGAGCCCCTCACAGTCGGGCCGCCCGTCTGTTCCCTCTGGGGTTCTCGCTCATAAGACTGTCCAGCTTGGACTCCCACATGGCTGACCACAGTTCTGGTTCCAGACCCAGAGGCTTGATACTGAGGACTTGGCGTGTATGCCCAAAATCCCAGGGAAGGGAGAAGAGGCTGACGTGCCACCCTCGGGGGTGATCTCTCAGGACTAGGTGAAGGGCTTGCAGGGCCAGGAAAGGCCCTGGGAATGCAAGTGGCCTGAGGCTATCTGGGGTCTGACCATCCCAGGGTGATGGTGGGGCGAGGTCTCTGTCCCAGACCCGCTCACCTGTCCAGGAGCGATGGCCACATCCCTGCAGGCGCTTGGGGGTGCCACCTGGGAGGCACTTCCGGCGGGCATAGGCTGTCACCGAAGGCACTTCCTGAGGGTGGGTGCAGTCAGGCAGCGTCTCCTATGTATGCATCCTCCGGAAACCTCCCACAGCCAGGCCTCAGCCCCAGGGCACACTTGGGCCCCTCCCTCCCCCAGGCTCGTCCCCAGCTGGATGGCTGCTCCCTCTGGTCCGGCCTCTCTCTTCATCTCCCACAGACCAGCCTTCCCCAGTGGTGGCAGGCCTCTCTGAGAGGTGACCCTAGCGTGAAACCCACTCGGCAGCCTCAGTTTGCCATGGTCCTGTGCATCCCCACCAGGTGACCGACTTGCCCTCTCTTCCTGCAGAAGGACATGGCCCTGAAGCCACAGGAGCGGAAGGAGAGATGGGAGCGTCGCCTCATCAAGAAGCCCCGGGAGTCAGAGAGCTGCCCAGCTGGGGAGCCCAGTGAGGACGGGCGGCTCCCGGAGGCAGGCAGCCCTGGGCAGGACGCAGAGCCCCCCTGCGATGGGGCTGCAAGGAAGGTCCCGCTGCAGCCCTCTAAACAGGTGAGCCGGGCCTCCCCAGGTGTTCCCAGCACGCCGGCAGCGTGCCCTGTCGATATGGGGGAGACATGCAGGTGGACGGGGCAGAGCAGAGGCAGGGGCTGGTCAGCGTGCAGGGGTCCAGTGACTGGCCAGGGGCGCCCCTCAGGGAGGGAGGCAGCGCTCAGCTGGTAGGCCGGCCCCGTGTTCCCGCTGCGTCTGTCAGGCTCCGCCGACCTCAGGGTGCCCAGCGTGCAGGGGTGTGCGCCAGGCTCGCCGCGCTCCTGCCGACCTGGTATGTGCTGACTGCGCAGCGCGGGAGGCAGCACTCGGCCAGGGTGCTGCAGGCGCTAGGCTGCGGTCGGTGGCCCAGTAGCGATCGGCCCTGCCCCTGCCCGGGCCTCCCTGCCTGGCTAGGGCGGGGCTGTCCCGCAAGGGGTGCCCAGCCCGTCCTCAGCTGGCTGGTGCTGCAGCCGCTCCTCCTGGGCCCCGCCAGTCGGCGCCTTCCTCCCCAAGGGGTCTCTTCTTGGTGTTTTGAGTGCCACCTTCGGCTCCCCAGGGAACAGGCTGCAGGAGGGCGGGCAGCATGTCTTTGGCCCCGGCTGGGCGGGGGGGCCTCCA